GTTAAGCATTATGTAATCTATGGCACGGCTTGCCAACACTGGTCCTGAAGTATCTACTGTCCTGCACATTTAAGTGTTTTCCCTGCTCTAACACAAGCAGTACAACTCAGGATTTAGCTGTTAATTAGCTGATGATTTGAATCAGGTAAGAACACTAAAATGTGTAAGACAGAGGGTACTCCAGGACTTGTGTTGTGAATCTGTAACCTACTGCAATCTATAATTTTCAGCACTCGGTATAAGAATGAAGGGCAGAAATAAGGATTGGGGTTAAATTGGGATCCTTTGCTGTGGACTAGTACAACTTCTATGTGAATATATATTTTCAGTTTCAATGAAAATGAAGAAAATAAACAGATATTGTTTTGTTCAACCATTACAAGCAATTTTTTAAACTTTTCTCTCTTCTATTCTTCTAACCATTTAGTTTTGGGTCAATGTTGTTACTGCTGTTGTAGCTAAACTGTCAAAAGCAGAATTTTTTTTTTCTGCTTTTGACAGTTTAGCTGCAACATTAGCAACAACATTGTCCCTTTTCCCTCAAGCCTGTGAACTCTTTATCAGTCATGTATTACCCCCTTCTTACATACTATATCAAATAAAAATGTTCATAAATCTTTATTAGTTTCTGAAATAGATTTTATTCTAATAGAGCGTCTGTGCTAAAAAATGTTTGACAAAAGAACTGACAAATAATTTGTAGCATCCTGGGGGGTATTCCATGAAGCAAGCCAAATCGATAAGCCAGGGTTATTTCAACAAGCCTGTCTCATTTCCATCAATTTTGGCTCCACAAACAAAGCTGATCATAAGCCCTACAGCTTGGTTGAGCTTGATGAATTCTATTGGCCAAGCCTTGTGTTCTCGTAGTCCCACTGGGTGGAAACAATACTCAGGAACAACTGAACATAGTGCACACTGAACAAAGTGAATATGTGGTCAGTCAGATTTAACAGAAATTACACAATAGTTAGTTCTGGTCCACTAATTTGATTGGCAGTATTCCAAGAGTGCTTATATTTCCTATAACCACACAGGGATGTTTCACTGTATCACTCTGCTCATCTGTGTTCACCATTTAACATTCCACTAGTGCGAAACAGTTACTACAGTAGTGTAGCAGCAGTAGCAGACTTGCATAATTTTTACTTTAAATATGAAAGTTCATCAGATGAAGATTAAAAGGAAGAAGGGATGCTGATTTTACCTGAAGCACTTTTAACAGGAATGTACAAATCAATGTGAGACAGTTAGTGAGCTAGCTGACATGCTATAAAGTGAGTGTGGCTTATTTTGGATCTATTTTCGCTAGCAAAGCAAAAATAAACAGAACATTAGGTCATATTGTGTTTGACATTCCTACTCAGTTACCTCACTTACTCTATATTAATTTCTTGTTTATAGAACTGTTGTATGAAAGCAATATCGCACGAGCAAGAGTGCAGTTATACCGAATATCAGCATGGCTGTGATTAGCATGGCACTCGCCCTGCAGGTTCGTGCCTAATCACAGCTTTGCTTATACTCAGTTAAACTGCACTCTTGCTAGTGCTTGAATATAATGTATAGTTTACATAAATATATTTAGTTTCTCATCAAAATGTGATTTCATTGCTTATTGTAAAATTAATTAAAACATATATTTACATTGAATTATGTAGACAGAATAAATTGACATAATAATAACATGAGCTTGAGTGAGTGGTTTTATTCCAAAGCTTTAAAAATATATGATCAAATCATGCTGCAACTCAATTCATTCACGTGAACCAATGTACACATTTGAAATCAAGTAAATTTCAACCATTTTTTTTCTTTCAATGCAGTAAAAGCATAGACAGTATAAAATATAAACATCTCTGAAATGATATGAACAAGGTACGCTAAATGAAATCTGACCTTAAATTAGTCCAGTTACAAAAAAATAGTAAATCCTCAGTTATGTGACTTTGATATAATTCACTATTTGTACTTCAAGTAGATGAGATCAATTATGTGGTAAGCATATTCATTTTGTTATATATAGCATATTAATTTCATTATAAGTCGCTGTTCAGCTGGACTGAAAAAACACTCTCATTCGCTGCCATAATTGCTATAGCTTCACTCCACTGATAGATCTGTATATATATTGTGTGTGCACACATGAGCCTCGTTTGACCAATTCCAGCTTGATTTATCGGAAATACTGTAAGTTGCACCTGAACTTTGTTGATGGAACTCACTGAGGCTGGATTGATCTGTTACTCTATGTCAAGCAAGGCTATTTCAAATGAGCCCCAGTTTTATTAGCTCGCTTCGTGGAATACAGCACTGAACTCAGGAGGTTGTTTAGGATCTATTATCAATACCAAAACACTGCCAAATACCAAAATGGTAGCGCACACAAGGGTCAAGGTCATGAAAACATAATTGGGCACGAAATACAAAAATCAGAAGATGATCCAAAGAGTAGTCTGGTACACAGATAAAGGGTCTAAACCAGTATGTTTAAATACTGTGAAATGGGCAACCACTGTTTATTGTCTCTTTTTGTTCATCACTCCCAATTTCATATCGCATCACATTTCCTGTATTTGGGATGATTCAGTGTCAAACTGCTTTCTCATTGCAATCGAATCATAGAGTTTGTTGGGAACGGTACCGAGGCCACCTTATGATCTTGAACCGGTTGTTTTGATCCGCATCAGAGTGTGATTGCTGTATTATCAGCTGCACAAACAAATCGCACTAAAGAGGAAAACACACCACGGTTCGATTCAAACGTTCTAAACACTGCATATGTAAAAGCAACCTTAGGTTTCCACAGCTTCCCTGCTCAGAGTGATCTCAGGATAAATCTACGTTGTAATCATTTCCACCCGTAGAAAGGTCTGCAGCAGACATTTCACACCAGAACAGCTAGCTGAACCATAACCACAGAGGCTTGGACAAGACTGGCAGAAATTGCAGTCCTATTGCCTGCTACAGTATTCAAACCCCACGGCCCAATGTGTGAGAAGGAAAAGCACTGGATAATAATAAAACACCTAACAAGAAACATTATACCATTTTTAACATACTTTTACATGCTGATAACATAGCTAATATGCATTAGCAATATTTACCTTTATAGCATATCAGTTATTGTGATAAAAATAACAAAAGACAGACATGATAAATTGTCAAAGAAAATCACATGTAATAATTTAATGTAAGTGTCTAGCCACTAATATCATGGGCAATATCCAGTTTCAACTGAAGACACCCCATTAACTTTAACTTTAACATTAACTTGGGTGTTCATTTCTGTTAATAGGTATTATCTTACAGTGTTGTACGGTTTATGTATCTCTTGCATAAACCGACTATAAAATGCAGCAATTCCAACTGTAGTGAATGAAATGCAGGAAATGCAGGAACTGTGGTAAATATAATGCAGAAGTGAACAGGAAATTGAGGTCAGTGGTCAGTTTAGACCTCAGGAGAGCAGGAACTCTGTTGCTGCGGAGGGGTACTGTCCTTGTATGTAGTGTTACCTTCAAATACAAAAGTGAATGAATAAATCTATTACAACAAAAGGTGCAATGAATTTCCCTCACATTTTCTTTCCCAAGAAATAGGCACAGCTGTCACAAACATAAAAAGTATTATTCTTACTGTAAACAGTGGCCTCCAGCAAATCAATACTGGTTTATCGTTCTAGCTTTCATATCTATGTCTATGTTCATGTGCACCCCATGCCACAGTTTCCAGTGAAGATGACTTGCCCTGAGGTTCAAGTAGGAAAAAAAAAACTTTTATTTCTTGTTAAACTGTTTGAAAGCATCTCTCTCTCCTTCCCCCATTCTCTGTTTAGTGTTCATTTACCTAGTTAAAACCAGTTTTGAATCATCTAACCATGTCAGAGCCATGTAAGAACAGTTAACTGTGCAGTTAGAGTACTTGATGTAAATATGACTATATTCATCTTTTGAAACTGCTAAAATATAGGCATTAACATATTTTTATATTAATCTATTATTTATTAGCAAGTCATTTACTACCTATTAGTTACTAGCAGTTAATAGCAATTAAAATTACTCCTATCCACTGGGTGTAATTTACCCATTACTGTAGCAATTTACTGCCCTCTTGTGGCGAACTTGCTGTTTTCAAATTATTTATTTATTTATTTATTTAAATTTTGCGTATTGTATGTGCTATTGCTAACACAAATTCCTTTTGAATGGTTATTACTTTTATAAATAAATTAAAAAATGTATCTTCTAACTAGCTCTTTTCTGATGTTAACAGTGGCAATCAAGAAAAGATCCAGAGTACCTGGTGTTATTATCACACAGTATGTGGAAAGAATACCACCTGGAAAAAGTACCCCAGATTTCATCAGAAAACCCATGGCTATAAACATTCAGGAAGGTATTCAAAACACTTTTTTCTGATGACATGGAGCAAAAAAAAAAAAAAGGCCTGCTGCATGATACCTTATTTAACAGTTAAATTTTGTTATTCATTAGTCATGTTTGCTTTGGAGGCCCTGGAGGACTAGTGGTTAGGCCCCAGCACTCTCACCGCTGTGGCCCAGGTTCTATTCCTGGCCAGAGAACCAACCGTACACTTTTAGTGCCAGTCACAAGCCCAGATAAAAATGGGGGAGGGTTGCATCAGGAAGGGCAGCCGGCATAAAAATTGTGTCAAATCAAATATGCGGACCAATGATCCACTGTGGCAACCCCTAGCAGGAGCGGCCAAAAGAAGAAGAACAACAACATTAGTCGTGCTTGTTTTATGCCACTGAATACATTTATTTATATTTACTCAATTTAAAGGATAGATTTTCAGATTTATGGTAACAGTGACTTTAAACTGAAACAAATCTCTGGTTTCAGGTGTCATGGATTTTCTGAAATTGGCACTTGACTACATTACCCATCAGTCCCTGCATGTTACATGAGCTTGTCACACGTTTCTCTGAGCACTCACACCTGTTCTGTGTTACCCCTACTCAGCACCCCTACTTAAGTCAAGCTTTTGTTGTTGTCATGCTTATGTACTGTTGTGTGTTCCACAGCCTTCCTCATAGTCTGCTCTTTTTTTTTTGCTTTATATCCAGTGTTTACGTTTATGGTTCTATTTTCACGGTTTTGGTTGGTTGTGGTACACTTTTTTCAGTAAAATGAAAAAATATGAGCACTACAGTTTCTAAAAAATTAGCAAAGGAATGAAACAATGAGTCTCACTATGGCTGCAGTCCATCCCTGTAGAGGCATTTCAGACCATTAAAAAAGAAAACCTCAAGCCTCAACCTCACCCATTGTTTTGGGCACAATGTCATACGCAAGACCTTTATTTACTTTTGTTTATTATATTCTTAATAAATGGCTTTTATTAGAGCAATACTATGATCTAACTTGTCCTGATTGCAGGTAAATCAGCCATTTTCAGAGCAGTGGTGACAGGAGAGCCAGAACCCACCATCACATGGGCACGTAACAAAGGAGATATCTCTGATCCAGAGAAATACAATACAAAATATGATGAAAGGGCTGGAGAATACACATTACAGGTAAAATGTTATTCATTCATTACTTTCAGTTCATTATTTTCAATCAAGGTGCTGTCCATCGCAGGGCACCATGCACACACATTCCCATTTAGAGGCTATTTAGAGTAGCCAATCTACCTACCAAAATTGTTTTTCGGAGATGGGAGGAACCCAAAGTAAACCCACATGGGCACATGTGAAACTCATAACCTGAACTCAAGTTTGAACTGGGTAACCTGGAACCTGGAGCTGTGAGACAGCAGCACTACTCATTGCACCACCATGCCACCTAGTAAAATATCAGTTCCAGTTAATTTAGTTTGTCAGAGCAGGCTAATTATTACTCACTCACTTTCAGTAACTGCTATATATATTGTCAGGGTCATAGTGGAGACTTTCCCAGGAACACCAGACATGAGGCAGGAATACCCATCAAGTGCCACAGTACAAGACAGCAAAGCAAACAAACAGCATTTTAAATCACCTTCCAATTATAATTACCATCAAAATTATTTCTGAAGTCTTCTGAATTTTGTACTTCACTGTAGGCCGATTTAATCTCCATTTACAGTGACAGAAAGGCATATTACAAGCATCAATCATTCCAGATTCATCTCAATGGCTCATCTGTTTTTTTTCTATTAGTGAAAATGGAAGACTGCTCTTTTGGCATATTACTGTGCTCCTCTTTTAAAATGCAAATCTCCTACACTGGATGTGTAGTTTACCAGGTCTGAGACTTTATGAAACATAGGCCCAAAGCAGGTTTTCTCACCCAATGCAGGTTTTTTTTTTTTTTTTGCCACGCCCATAACTAATCCCATGTGGGACCAGTGCAGGCTAGCCCACATTTTGGCAAATACCTATTCTACCCATATTGGCCCAACAGAGATTTTTTGTGGGCAGCCCACACTTTGGCATGCCCACACAAATCCCATGCAGAACACATCAGCCCAATGCTGTGGGGCCAGTGTGCGCCAATGTGCAAATAATAATAATAATAATAATAATAATAATAATACATTTTATTTATAAATCCCCAGTGGCATTATGTGGGAATGGCTGCTGTGATATTTTTCATCTCACCCATGCCCCACAGTTTGAATACCCCTGTCTTAGCCAATCCGCCTTCTGGCATGGTTTTGGGAGGTGGGAGAAAACCAGAGAGGTGGGAGGAAACCCACATGGACGGGCAGAACATGCACAGAAACTCCACACAAACCATAACCCGAGCTCAGGATTAAAACCTTGGACCCTGGAGCTGTGAGCCGGCAATGCTACTCACTGCACCACTGTGCCATCCACTGGCTAATTATGCTGAGTTTAAATGTCAGTGGCTTTCTCCTTTTTTCAATAATTTTCCTTTTCATTAATTTTTCTTTTCATTTATTTCTGCTTTTCCTGGTAGGGGTTGAGGTGGCAACAGGCTGAGAAAGTTGAGACTGTCTAGGCTCTCTATTTTTATCCCCAGCCACAGAATACAGGTCCTCCTGGGGGATTCCCAGACATTCCCAAGCTAACTCAACTTTTCCATTTCTGGTTGAGAACATGCTGTGCTCATCTTAGCCAAGTCGCCACTGCTGGGCCCTTGAGCAAGGCCCTTAACCCTCAACTGCTCAGTTGTGTAAATGAGATAATTGTAAGTCGCTCTGGATAAGGGCATCTGCCAAATGCCATAAATGTAAATGTAAATGTAAATCTTAGCTGCCGCTTCTCAATGGATATTTTTGTTTCTCCTCTGTTCAATTTTTCTTTCTTTTTTGTCTTATGTTTGTATGTTTGATGTTTGTTTTGTCATCTTTCTTAATATTTTTGGTCACTGGTTTTTTTGTGTATTTGCTGGTTGCTGGCTGTGATGGACCTTATTTTAAGGAGCGGATTTCCCGAGGCCTTCCCCCATGTGCATGCCTGTGTCTCTGCTCACCATGGACTGAATGCCGCATCTGATCACTTTCGGCATGCATGCTACTTGCGTCAGTGGCAGGGAGTTCAGTGTTGTTCTGAGCAGTCTCGGGGCTTCTCAGGCCTCTGTTCAGCAATGTGTCTTTGCGTAGTGTGTGCAGCTCTGCAGCTCACTTCAGAGTGGTGGTACCCAGTAGTGTTGTGGCCCTGTGGACCATGTGGGCCGTAGCAGCATATGCCTTTATGGGAAGCAGCTTTTGGAGGACTCTGCAAACCAGGCTGTTTTTTGTTTATCATTATTTTGTGTTATTGTATGTTTTTCCTGTAATTGTAAAACAACCTTGGGTGCGAGAAAGGCACTATATAAATAAGACTAATTATTATTATTATTATTATTATTATTATTATTATTATTATTAGTGATATATAATCTCTCCTGTGGGTCTTGAGTCTGCCCCAGGATCCCCATCCAGTGGGACATGTCTGATACAGCTCTACCAAGAGTCAACCAGGGGGCATCCTTGTAATGTGCCCAAACCACCTCAACTCTTAATTCCAAGGAGCAATGGCTCTATTCTGAGGTTCTCCTGAATTGTTTTGCTCCTCAACGAATCACAGAGTCTAAGGCCAGCAACCCTGCAAAGGAACCTCCCTTTTGATGGCTGTAATTGCAACCTTATTGCAACCTTTCAGTCACTACCCACAGCTTGTGGCCAAAGATGAGGATAGGTGCACTGATTGACTGGTGCTCTTGTTTCACCACCATATACCAGTACAGCAAATGTAACACTGCAGGCTAGGTCTCTCCTCCCATCTGATCCAATCAGCCCCTCTTTTTTCTAAGGGAGAACCATGGACTCGGACTGGGACTCGGAAGTCCCGATTTTCATCCCAGCCCCCTCACACTCAGCAGTAAACGAGTGTGTCAGAGGTCCAGTTCAGATGGTGCCAACAGAACATCATCTGCAAATAACAGGGATGTTGCTTCTAGCCCTCCATACTGGCCACCTCTCCAGCTTTGGCTGCATCTTGATATCTTGTCCATGAACACAACAAACAGGCATGAAGACAAGAAAAACTCTTGATGGGGTCCAACATCTACCTTAAATAATTTTGACTTAAAATGGAGACACAAGTCTCACTGTGCTCATAGAAAGACATTTGTACACAGCCTGGGCAGAACCCGCATTGCTCCTCTTGAATTCTACGTTCAATTATAGGATGGAGTATTACTCAGAATGCATCCTTCTTCAACTTGATGTCTTCCCACACCACTGGTATCCACCAACACATCCCAGGGTTACGAAGGTGACAGGCACTGATAGCCATCTGGCCACAGCTTTTTGCAACTGTCTCTATGACTGAAGACTTGAACATAGTTTATTCAGACTCAATGCCTTTTCCTCACTCTGTACATGGGAGAAATACTTTCAGGGGTGTGAGTTAAATTTGTTTCTCACTGAAGCTTCTGCCATAAGCAACTCAGAAGGCTCTCTTGGATTTACCAGAATCCAACTCACCACCAAGTTTAAAACATATGTTCTCAAGTCTGATGACACAATCACAAAAACAATCATTGTCATTTGGCCCAAGATGCAATTGTACCAAGTACACTTATGAGCAACTTTGTGTTTGAACAAAGTGTTATTAACAATCTGTGGCTTGGACAGAAGTCTAATAATATTTCCACACCTAGCTGATGCCTATCACCTGTGGGAACTCTGGAGTAGGACAGCTACAACCCCCAATCAAGAGGTTTGGTACCAGAATCCTTACTGTTTGTGGATGTGAGTCTGATAATATCTAATCCATACCTTTCACATACTAACTCAGGCTCATTCTCTGCCAGTGAAGTGCCATTCCACATTCCCAAAGCTAGTTTCCATTCTAAGGGTCTAGTCCATCTAAGACTGTCCATCACATGCCTGCTGCCTGACTTTCATTGCACCTGACCCCCATATAGTAGGTGGTAAGCACAGATGTCTCCACGTCTTCATTTCAGGCTGACTCAACTGGGTTACATGAGTGGCCAGTCACCAGACGCGCACCTGGATAAGGGATGTAAAAAGACAAATTTACCAAGTGTCTTCATTCAGTGGGATTCAGATAGCCATTCAGACTTCACCATTAAATTAATAGAATTTGTGTGCCTTGGAGAA